ATATCCACAAAACAACTTGTTGGGATTTTGATTGGGACTGCATTGACTTATAGATCAAATTGGGAAGAACTGACATGTTGACAACATTGAGTCTTTCAATCCGTAAGAATGGACTATCTCTCCATTTATTTAAATTTTCTTTGATTTCTTTTATCATAGTTTTGTGCTTTTCCTCATATAGATCTTGTACATATTTTGTTAGATTTAAACCTAAGTATTTTATCTTTTGGGGGAGCTAATGGTATTTTCAAGTTGCACTTGTTAATTGCTGGTATGTAGGAAAGCAATTGGCTTATATATATATTTGTATTCTATAACCTTGCTATATTTGTGTATTAGTTCCAGGATAGTTTTTGTCAATTCTTTTGGATTTTTTATATAGAAGGTCATTTGTCAACAAAGGCAGTTATATTTCTTCCTTCCCAATGTGTATATACATTTTATTTCCTTTCCCTGTCTTAGTGCATTAGCTAGGACCCAAGTAACTTTCTGAGACACAGCATTAGTAAGTAGCAGGGCCAATACTCAAACTTAACCCATTTGATGCCAAGGCACATATATACCCTTGAATCATTAAGCTATCCTACATTCAGTGCTCCTTCCTATAAATCTCACTCATCTTTATTTGTAGCCTCTTAAAATGATAGTTTTTACTTGTATTTATATTATATTAATTTACCCTTTACAGGCATACATTTTATGGGTTTTTTTGCATATAATTTTCATCTTTTGTTTGTTGTCATTTATACTTCCTTCTGCCATCTTTATTGAGTTTTTTAATGGGTTGTCACTTTCATCTTTGGCTTGTTTTTCTCATTTTCAGAGCTCTTACTCTGCAAAATTTTTTCAGCATGTAATATGGAACTTGGAATTTAATATTTACTGGCAGTGGTTGTTTGCTTTTACCTTCTTACTGATAAAACATATAAACAATAAACCATAAAAACATTTTCATTATTCATGGCTCATCTTGCCTCCCCAAATGCAGAATGAGGTCTGACTGTGCTCCTGCTGATCTTTGCTGCCATTAATCCTATAAAAAAAGATTCATTTTAGTGGGACAATACACCACCTTTTCAATTTAGATCAAGCCACAGGCAGCCTGCTTCTCCAGCTTTACCTTATTTGTTGATGATAATAACTCCTGAATCATCACAAATTCTTTTTTCCCTCTTGCTGGTTCTCATCCCATGGCTTTAATCTTTTGCTTTCTGAGTATTAAAATAACATACACTAAGTGAAAAAAAAAACAGAACACCCGTAAAAGATAAAAAACGCACAAACAGTACTGTCTCCCAGGGAGAACCGTGCTTAGCATTTTTGTATATATCATTCCAAACATATTTTCACTTAGACCATCATGAAGTTACAATAATAATCATTTTTCTAAAAAGCTGCCCAACAGACATGCTGTTTTATAATTTTTTTTTTTTACCTCGGCACTATGTTTTGGGCGTCTTGACAGGCAGGCCTGCATCATCTCTGCCCCCGCATCTGCTTCCTTGCAGGTGTAGCTGCGTTCACAGGCCCTGTGTTCTGCTGCCGGAGAGCCACACCCTTCCTTTGCCCCCCACTCCTCTCCACCTCCTCCTCTTCAGTCTCCTTTCCTTCACCCTCTTCATCTTCCTCCTCCTGCGTGTCTGTCCCTGCGGCTCCCAGCGCAGGCCACCCCTCCTCCCCTGTCCTCTCCCCTCCTGCCCCCTTTCTCCTTCCGACCTCCCCCTGCCTTGCTTAAACCTAAGCTGCTCTGCAGGGAGCCCACTTGCTTCCTTCACGCTGATTTCTTGGTGCTTTTTCTTTCTTTCGCTCTTTGCTTCTTCCTCCATGCTGATGCCGGGCTTCAACTTAGCCTCTCCACTCTTACAACTTCGGTCCGTGATACTCTTTCTGTCCCCATTCTGGTTATTCTGTAATTTGCCTTGACTTTCATTTCTATTAATAACTAAGGTGAGAGGCGCTGAGAGCTTTGCCGACGACGGCACAGCAGTTGTCAGAGCCCAGCTAGAATTCAGTGCTGGCTCTCAGACCTGTGGTCTTTTCACTAGACTGAGCTGTCCCATCACGGCTGAGGGTGTAAGAGCCTCACGTTTAGTGCACGAGCTCAACAGAGAAGCAAGCAAGCGAGCACTGACAGCCGCAAACAGGAACCAAAAAGGGAAAGAGTAGAACATTCACTGACTCAACTAGAAGGGCTTGAATTTAATGTTCTCTCTGCTCAGTAACTCAGTTCCAGGCAAATTAAAGAAGACTTTTTTGAATGTTTGCCTACTTTTGTTTGCTCCAAAGCTATTAAAAATGTATAGCTGTTAACTTACCCCACAGTGCCATTTGAGACCTGAACTTATAAAGCTAAAAGGAAGCATAGTAAATAGAGTTGATAATATCTGTACTTAGATGTAAGATTATCGTGCCTGATATATTAACTTAATTTCTTTTTCAGAATTAAAGGAGTCTGTATACAGAGTTTGTGTATAGTGTATAATACCAGGTTGTCAAGACTTGGTCTTGTAATCTTTCCCCTAAACCATCACAAGAAATAAAGAAATTATAAACTGTAATTGAAAAATAAAATAAGGAAAAAAAAATAAAAAAAATAATTATAAATATGTGATTAAGTAAACCAAGTTAGAAGATGAAAACAACTGGAGATGCTAAGTTGTATTCTGGCCATACATTTTTGTGAAGCCATGGTCTCTTCCTCTATGGTTTCTCTAATGACCACCTTTGTTTCTCCCTTGGCAATAATTGCTGCCTGTTCTGGGGCATTTATTCCAAGCCATGTACTAAATCATAAGTGTTTATATTTTTGTGCACTGAAGATATATCAATGGTTAAATTAATTAAACATGGAGACCATTTGATTGAAATGGCTCTAATGCTATGGTGGTCTATGGAAGCAAACCCAAATCTAAGCCTGTAAATGCCCGAAGGGTACAAAATAGAAGCCTAAGGGCAGCCAGTCACAAACAGCCAGCTAGGCTGTAAGCTATAGCCCATCAGTAATTTGCTTGCTTTGCTTTCGAATCTTCTCCATAAGTCTCTCCCTGAGCTTCTGTCCATGGAGCGCTCTTAACTGCTTCCTGTTGGATGGTGCCGTATTTGAATTAATTTTTGCTCAAATAAACTCTTGAAATTTTTAATTTGCCTCAGTTTTTCTTATAAAGTAAAAAGACCACAATTTAAGACCAGATGGAATTTTTTTATGCTGATGAGATTTTGCTTTTTAAAAATGAAAGGAGATTAAACACTTATTTCAACATTGCTTCAAGTATTTAGAAGAGTTTTTTCAGAGGAGGGGGCATTCTTGTGAACTGCTTCCAGATCAAATTACAAATTCTTGCCCTCCCCTCCCATCATGTCTTTGGAGTAGTGAAATAGTTACTAAAAAAAATTCCACTTTCTTTGTATCCTTGGGTAAGTTAACTAACCTTTCTGTGCTTTAGTTTCCTCAACTGTAAAATGATGATAACAGTTGTGCTTAACTCATGGAACTGTTCTAAAGGAATTAAATATCTAAGTGCTTGGAACAGTGGCTGGCACATAATAAAACTGCATGGCTTTCTATGACTATTTCTACTGCTGTTATGACTACTTCTACTACTACTACTACTACCACCTCTGCTATTATTAGTACTAACAGCCTTCCCTCCTTCCATCTAAATTTAAGAATTTATTGGCTCCAAATGACTTTGGCTATGCCTACAAACAAAAATCATCCTCTAAAGGAGAAGATTTGCCAGTAATGAAACAGTGAAAAGATGTATTGAAAGATCTAAAGTTAATTCTGAAAACACAGTCCCCAAGGTGTTTTGAGTAATGAAGTGATGTTGGAGTAAATGTAAAATCTCTCAAATGATTGCTCTGAAGGCAGTCCCTCTCAGCCGGATATATAGTGCGTATTTTTAAAAGAGCCAGTCAGGTACTTTACATCTTGTTTCTCCAAGGTAAATACAATTCTTGAAGGTAGAAGCTGTATTTTCTGCTTCCATGCATTTCCTGTAGCATCCAGCACAGTTTTACAAATTGCAGATGTTCAATAAATATGTTGATTAGTTGCTGAGGCACAGTTGAGGGGAGAAGAATTAGGAATAAAATGTTCTCTAGTTAATTGCAAATTGCTTCCCTACTTAAAAATGTATTTGCATTTTATTATCTTTTTATTTTATTTTATTTTATTTATTTTACTATTTCTGGAAAATGCTTTGACATTTGATTGTATACATTTTGGTAAATTTCGTGAAAATTTAAATTCTTACAAAAGGCCCATTGTAAGATTTTCTATTTTTATTATTGTTTCAAAATGGAAAGAACTGTTAGTGTAAAGGCAGGCCTGTTTCAATCACACTTCATGAAATTCGTGAAGCGAATCATTGAAATTAGGGCTGGTAGGGACCATGTTGTTACAGCCTGAAAACCCAGCATAGCTCCAAGAAGACGGTGGAAACATAGTAAGTCATGGGAAAATAAATGACTCGTCTAATACATTCTCCTCATTTTACAGTTGAAGAACTGAGGCCCAGGTAACTTGCTCACTGTCACCTAGTGGCATGGGAGGGACTAAAAACAATGTTCTTGGATGCAATCGTGCTTTAAATGCGGATTTCACATTTAAATTGTAACATGAAAAAGACTTTACATTTAGTCCTTGAAAAATGTATTTTTATTTTAAAGTATGTGAATCGAATTCATAGGTTAATAACTGCTATATTTCAGGAAGGCACTAGTAGGAATTTGTTCATACAAATCAAAGGATTGTTTTAAGGGGAAAGCAAAATAAAATGTCCTTTAAGTGGCTTGTTCAAGGCCTGCCAACCTATTCATTTCCTTTTCCCCTACCTTTTCTCTATTATATATGATCAGGGGTTCCCATCCACTAGGAAAAACTTTGTTGTAACCATTTATCTCCCTCAAGATATAACACATCTCCTGTTTCTCCGTATTTCTTTAGACTTTCCAAAAATGCTGTTTATTCTGTTGATAGATTTTCTGCCATTTCACAGGATGAAAAAAAGGAGTCAAGCTCATGTACCTGCCTGAAGGGGCCCAAGCTGTCAGAAATAGGGACAATTGCCTGGATGATCACGCTCAGTGACGCCCTCCACAACTTCATCGATGGCTTGGCCATTGGGGCCTCCTGCACCTTGTCTCTCCTCCAGGGCCTCAGCACCTCCATCGCGATCCTGTGCGAGGAGTTTCCCCACGAACTGGGTAAGGGGCTCTGCTCGCCCTGGGAAAGTCAGCTACTGCTTGGTTTCAGCGGAATGAGACGTTTCAGGTGACACGCACACTTAGAAACCCTGCTGGTGGCATCAAAGTAAAGAAGCCCTCGTTAGACGCTGATGGTCACCTATCATCTCACCCCCAAACTGAAAAAACGCTTTGTTTGCTATTTTCTTCCTCTAGGGGACTTCGTGATTCTCCTCAACGCAGGGATGAGCACTCGACAGGCCTTGTTGTTCAACTTCCTTTCCGCGTGTTCCTGCTACGTGGGGCTAGCTTTTGGCATTTTGGTGGGCAACAACTTTGCTCCAAATATTATCTTTGCACTTGCTGGCGGCATGTTCCTTTATATTTCTCTGGCAGACATGGTAAGAAATTTCAAAATTTTTTCTTATTTTAGTTTAAAATTTATGAATAAACATCTGGGTTATACTTTGACTAAGGGTGACAAGAAATTCTTTCTGCTGTCATTGAAGACATTCCTAATTTAACAGATAACTCTTTTTGAGTAGTTTGCTGATAGTAATTTGAAAGGGATTCTCATTGGTTCTTTAACCTATGATCTTATTGACAGAAGAGGAAATGAATTATTTTTGTTGAAGGAGAGATATTTTCTCTATTTTTTTTTTTGCCTTGTGGTGGGTAAACTTGCATTGTATTATAGTATGTCCCTTAGGATTTTTTTCCTCTCTTTTGTGAGGATGTCACATTGGAAGCAGAATGATTTATTTTGTAAATAGAATTTTGTTATTTCAAAGTTCTAAACAGGGAGAGCCTTTTGAGTTAAACTAAAATTGGTAAATTAAAATTAGACATTATGTACTCGTGTCAGTGTATATTTGTATCTATGTTTATATCTATGGCTGTGTCTATGTATTTATGTGTGTGTGTGTGTGTGTGTGTGTGTGTGTGTGTAAGAGAGAGATTATAAATAGTCCTGTTCCTTTTCAAATGAATCATGGACAGCATCTTAGAAAATGAAGAGGTGCTAAGTGTATGCAAATCAAATAATATTTCCTTTGCATTTGGAACTGAATATGTATTACAGACATAATTTAATAATTTAATTTCTTTCATCTGCATTTTTAGCTCCAAATGACAACTGTCTAGCTCTGCTTCTTGAGCTGTGCAGACCCTTATAAGAGCAAGGATTCCATCTTTTAGAGCCATCACTGCATTTATATTTTTCTTCACAGAATTAATGTCTCCCACTCTATTTATGCTAGGTCATCCCTTCTCCCTTTTCTGATATAAGAACAGAATCTATTAGGGTGTTTAGTTTGCAGAAATAATACTGATAAATGATGCTGCATACACTTACAGCAGTTTCACACTACTCAGAATGGTGCCACCCATTTAATCCTGGTGCCAATTTTCTTCAGTTGGGCACATGATTGACTGTGGAGACCTCTTGGATGTGATACAGTGCACCGCTGCGTATACAGCAAGCATTTTTGGAATATGCTTTGAGAGTGCCTTTCACAGATCTCCGCAAGGAGCCTTTTCAGTGGAAGTCACCTGCTGAGAAAGTAGATCTTAAGTACAGAACTTGGGGTTTTAATTGCTTTCACTGTAATGAGATGGTTATAGCCTTCAATCCTAGAGCAATGCATAATTTATTTAAAACCTTGTAATTTTGTAAGGGGTAGAGCAAGCAAAAGGACACAAATGGAAAAGAACAAGAATGAAATGTATAGTGATTATTAAACAGATGATTTGTTCAGCTGCCATGAACTGATACTTCTGTACCGGGCCCGGAAATTGATAGGGCACTGGGGAGTCCAGGGAACAAGAGGCACAGTCCCTTCACCCGTGGGGCTTTCTGTTTACAAAGAAAGGATTCTAAAACTCAACAAAGGAACAAAAACCACACACATGACTAAGTAATTACAAATAACAGATCTGTGAAATATAAGGTAAAGCAATATATATGATGAGAGATGAATGTAAGGGAATCTAATATAAGTTAGAGGGGGCTAAGAGAAGCTTTTATAAGAAAGTAAGATTTAAGTTGAAACATGAAAGATTTAGTTCAATTGAAAAACTGGAGGCAGAGTTCAGATAGAAATATTGGTGGGTATGAAGATTTGAGGGAGGNCCCCGTCGGCCCGTCGGCCCGTGTCCATCACCCCTGATCCACCCAGGGACGCACCACCGGCTCCTCCGCATTTTAACAAGGCGTCGTCTCGGGGCCCGCTTCTCACTTAGGGCTGGGTTGTAAATCTTGGACACGGGGAAGCAAGGACGGGCCGACTCACCTTGCAGGGCAGACGGGACTGTCAAAGGCGGTGATGAATATGACAGCCTTTTATAAGCAACGTGACACTGGATACGGATCAGGTGAGCAGCAACGTGCGTTTAATTGGATTCCAGCCCTGAGCGCTGTTCCTTGACTTAAACGCATCGGGAGGAAGTGGAAGGAGGAAAAGCCTGGAAATGGAGATCACCGGCTGTTTCCAGCCTCTGACACTGACCAGGAATGGTGTCTGACGAGTCACTTGTCTTCTCTGTGCCTCAGACTCCTCGCTGGTAAATCAGGCGGCCGACTTGAGTGATCTCGAAATTCCTTTCAGTTCCAGGTATTATTCTTTGTACATGGTCGTGATGACACAGAAAAACCTGGCGTCATACCACCTACTTATGAAGGAGGGTCCTTCAGCTTTCTGCTCACTTTACTTGCCCATAATTGGTTTGATGAAAGACCGTCTAAGTGACTAGGGCCCTCCCTTTGCCTGCTAATTCTTATAGCAAAATAATAATACTATTCTGTTCCATAATCCATTATGAAAAAGAGATAGCAGAGTTTTTTTAAGTGTGAGACAATTTCCACTCTAATCAAACAAATTTAATTTTCATTTAGGTAAAACAATTTTTGTTGTTGTTGTTATCCTCATGTGGGGATATTTTTTCCATTGATTGTTAGAAAGAGTGGAAGGAAGGGAGGGAGAGGGGGAGAGAGAGAGAGAGAGAGAGAATTAAATGAGGTCAATCCCATTGACTCACTTGGGGAACAGTATTTTCGTACTATCATTCTTGTTGATGTCTAATAGGGCTAGATATTCCTAGTACACTATCTATGCTAAAACATCTAAACATCTGAAATTTATAATCATTTATTCAGAAATCTATTAATCTATAAATGACTATTTTATGTTTTGCCACAAGATGGCAACAGTTATCTAACAATATGTCTTTCTTCTAGTTTCCAGAGATGAATGACATGCTGAGAGAAAAGGTAACTGGAAGAAAAACCGATTTCACCTTCTTCATGATTCAGAATGCTGGGATGTTAACTGGCTTCACAGCCATCCTACTCATTACTTTGTATGCAGGAGAAATTGAATTGGGGTAATAGGAGATGAAAGATGCTGTTATTAACAAATAAAAACATCTCCAAAGGGATTTTAAGCTGATCCTGTTTAGTTAAAAGATAAATTTTAAAACTGTAGGTCAAGAAAACTAGCTATTGCTTTCAGATCTGTGAAACAGGCCATTATTTGTTATTAAAAATGTTTCAAAAGGTAATCAGTTCCAATCTGAAAAGGCTCGTCTGCAAGATCTTTGGTAAATACCCACTTTTTCTTGTATCATACATATTAGAACATCATCACAAAGCAAGAAACATGCAGTGTAGTCACTTAGACACCAAAACCCAGAGAAAAATACCAGCTAGGTTGTAGAAGCTTTTAAAGCTCGGTGGTAGGATCAAAAGTTCAAGTGGTTTCAGAGTGGTTTTCTTTTAATTAATTTGTTCTAGTGCTTTCATGAGCAAGTACATCAAAATGCGGGAGGTTATCAAAACGTATCCAACACAGACACAAATGATTCCAAGGCCTTCATGAACCCAGGGATGAAGGATTGCTCACAGCATTATTTGTTTTATATTTTAGTTTGGCATTTATAGGATTGTTTTGAAAACCATCCAGTATGAATTATGAAACCAATAAAGTTTTGCTAGCCCTAGTAAGTTTAGACTGCATCTGATACTTTATCGCTAAGTATGAACTCTACCAGATTTCACAAAAAGTAGGAATTGGCTTTGTATGACTTAGGTGTGGTCGCACCAAACAAATAGCAGAATAATGAATAAAGCTGGTGACTGACAGTTCAGTTTTCATGTACAGTGTTTGTTTTGTGAAGGTGAAGGCTGTGTTGGTTTGTAGAAAGAAATTGAATGTAATCTTAAGTAATTTTCTTTCAAAGATGAACACAATTATTTAGCAAAGGATAGTTTAAATAAATGCAAAGCAACAGCTGGACTGCTGTATGTTGAGGACTGATTATAAAACATACGTTCTTCCTGGGATTGAGAGTCATTCAGAAAAGACTTCTTTTGTGTTCAGTCTACATTTTTCCTGTATGGTATCCTTTGGAAAAAAATTCTGCACACCATAGTTATTTTTCTACCTTTTATAAAAGATAGAGCCTGTTTTCTCGTTTAGTAGGCATAGAAAGTTGGTCTGAAATTGACATCCTAACCCCAATTCACACTCCCCAGTCATTTAAGGAAAGATAATTTGACAGGGAAGAAAATGATTTATAAAGCCAATAATGATCTCAGGAATTATATTTTCCCAGAGTATAAAATGGTGTCGCATAGCAATAATGCAGATCTGATGGATATTTAACATGTATGTGAATATACATTTCACTTTATGACTGACAATTAAAAAATTATTGTTTGACCAAATAGTAAACACCTTTGAAACCATGTTTTGTATCATTCACTATTAATTTTAGTATGTATCTTTTTGAGTGACTTCCATATACTTGGTATTATGGGGAAGACAGAAAAATAGGAAATTGGTGATGTGTTTCTTTCAAGGATATTCAGCAAATGAAAACTATAAATATTTATAATTGTTCATTCAAACCAGTAAGCATAGAATCTCATTTTATCATGTCATCTGTTTACACAATTTTAAGAAATAATCTGACCTTTTTAAAGCATAGATTATATGTCTGGGTTAATAAACTATTTACAACATGATATTAAAACAAACTCTCGTTTGGTGCAGATCATTGTATATGCGGACCGTCCTAGCGCTTCATGTTACTTTCTCCACGTGTCGACCTTTTGGCCATTTTTTTCAACTCTGAGTTGACATAATACTGCGTGAAGGCCCAAAAAGCAAAAAGAAAATTGCCACTTATTGGAGACTATGGTTGTGTTGTCTCCAATAGGTAGGAAATGGAAAGCCATGATTAAATATATATTATCCTAGGTAACTATTTGACAAAGTATAACCCTATCAGTCAACATATCGTATACTGAAGCATTTATTTTATCAGTTGAACATTCTCTAATCTTTTAGATTTTAAAGAGCCTATGACAAACCAAAAATGATTCCCATGCATTATATATTAGGTTATATACTTTTATTTTTGGTTTTTAGACTTCTTAAAATGGCCAGTAATAGCCAGCATTTTTTGAGTGTTGTATCAGACCCTGTCTTAGTCTGTTGAGGCTGCTGTAACAAAATATCACAGATTGAGTATCTTATACATCACAGATATTCATTTCTCACAACTGTGGAGGGTGGAAGTTCAAGATCAAGGCACTAACAGATCTGGTGTCTGGTGGGAGCCTGTTTTCTGGTTCATGGTGCCTTTTTGCTGTATCCTCACGTGGTGGAAGGGGCAAGAGAGCTCTCTGGAACCTCTTTTATATGAGCACTAATCCTATTCATGGGGGCTCCACCCTAAAGACCGAAGCACTTCTCAAATCCTCCGCCTAATACCATGATCTTTGGGGTTAGGATTTCAACATATGGATTAGGGGGGATACAAGCATTTATAACACAGAAGACCCCTATTGCTACCTGAAGAACTGGAGGCTCACACCAGGCTATTCTCATGCTCACAGGTCTTTGACAAGTTTAGCTGATCTAGCTGGGCTTTTGCTGGGTGGCTCAGCCTCAGGCTGGGGGTCCTCTAGGCGGGGCCACTGTGGTAAGAGGTGTTGCAAAGTCATGTGGCAAAGGGCATAGATGCATCATTCTAATACAGGGGGAGAGTGAGGATGTACAAAAGGATCCAATCTACCTTAAGTGAGGCCTATAGGCTATCTAGTATTTCATTCACCTGGTAAAAAATATATACTATCAATAACAACTCATCAGAAGCTTCCAGAACTACCCCCTTGTTCCAACTCAAGTATTAATTCTGGTTCCTTCTATTAGAATATTATTTTCTTTCCTCTACTAGTAGAAGTTATGTATGGATGAGTTTACCAGATAATCAGCATAGAGCTAATTACTGATGGCCTGTGCCAGGAGAACGTTACCAGCCAGTCTCTCCATCCTCTGATTGGAATTGCCTTCCTTTGGGTCTTTCTTTGATTTTTATCAATAGGAGATCATGATTTCCAGGTGCTTTGTTTTGTTAAGGTCCATTACAGTCCAAGAGGTTCTTAACCCTATCATAAATAAATTCCCTAACACTGATGTTGCTATAGCTACTGCCTCACTGACACGTTGCCTTCCCCCAGCTGGGGGTGGCAACGCCTGTGTTAGAATTTATTTCCCTTAGCTTCCTTTCTGTGCCGAGTATGCACAAAGCCTCCTCTCATGGCCATTAACTTCATATATTGGGGGTTTCCAACTTCTACATGTCTCAAAGTCAGTGATTTTACTAATAAAATTTCAGGGAAGCTAAGGCAGTGCGGTAAACCAAAAAACTCCAAATACCTGTACTATTCATTCTAAGACAGGTATTTCCCCCCGATTTTAACATTTCCAAATGACCTGCTACAATCACTGGCAACCAGGTGGCATTGTTGAGGCTGTTACAGTTCTGTGAAAATGAAAATAATTTGTTGGAATCTGGGAAGGCCAAGAAAATGCCAGTATCACTGTGTTTGGGATTTGATGGTGTGTAATAACAGGCACTTAAACATGTCAGGTCTACTTTCCTTCCTGTAAGAGAAGCGTGGCAGAAGCAATGCAGGGCTGGCATGGCTGTTTCGTGGTCATGGGAGCCCACGCTCCTTTGATCTGCCATCCAGGGCTTCTGACTTCAAGATTAATTCATGTTCTAAGATGTTTGCTGAAGGGATCCAGCCTTATAGTCCAAATTATATGTAGTAGGAAAAACAAAAATTCACAGGCAGTTCTTCATCCCTCTTAAACTAGCTTTCTCAGAAGTAATATACAGTGTTTCTAGCTATATTCACCGACCAGAGTTAGTCATATGGCCATACCAACTAGCAAGAGAAGCTGGGAAATGTTATTTATTTGGATACACTGCACCAATAAAATCAGGGTTCTGTTACTAAGAAAAAGCAAAGCAAAGACATTGTGTAGACTGGTGGCCATCTCAGGTATGGACAGGTTTGTATCTGATTTACCTGGGAGAATTATTGTTCTAGATGGTTCTGACACAGCCAGTCTAGGGAACTGCTTCTTTTAGTGGTTCTCGTATCATCTTGACCATTTTAATTATACTGGCTGACAGGACCAGTTTTGCCAATAGTATTGTTCACACAAGTTGCACTTAGCTTTGTACTTTCTGTCTCAGCCTGTTGTGAGTACTATGTATATTTTTAGATATCCTGTGTTTGTCATAGGGTGGTCTAAATTTTAAGAAAACCAAAAAAATAAAATAAAATAAAACCACACACACAAAACCCTTCCCCCAAAAAACAAAACCCAAACCTCCTTTTTTATGGACTTTGATCTTTCTGTTTAAAACTCTTCTGATTACCAGGCTCATATCCAGAACTAAGAGACTATCAGCAAAAAGTGGCAAAAATAAATTTTAAAAATAATTTATTTCTATCCACACCTCCAATATGGGTCATTACAGCTATTTAGCATAAGCAAAGTTGGATCAGAAATGCTATTTGTTATCTGGTTTTTGCATATAATTAAAATGGTAACTACTGGTGACATAAAAATCTCAACATCATTTAGTTTGGACATACACATCAAGATTACCAAAGAACTATTTCAATGGGTAGGGCTTGCATGTTTTAAACTTTATATAATAGTTAAATTCCTATTTCGGTGATTGTGCATGTTATCCCCACAACTGCATGGACCAGTCTGTGGTAAAACCGCAGCAAGGCAACGTGTGGATAATTTAAGACCATTCTCGTGGTCACCAAAGGGATGTCTGATCAAAGGTCATGGGAAAGAAAAATAAAGATGTAAAATTATAAATTACAGAGGAAAGTCTCTCAGAGAGAATTCAAATCAGAAATGCTTCTCTCCCTCAAAAAGCCGAGCAAGTTTATAAAACCCGTCTTTTTCGATTTTGTGGTGAGCTCCACCAACGGGCTGCCGAGCGCTCAGTAGGGGCCTCACTGCAGTTAGGATGGACACACTGCACTGGTGTCTGACTCCCTTCCAGAAAGCTTTCTAGAGAGGCTTGGAGGATGCGGGCAAGGGACTTTGGAGGTTGAGTGAGGAGAGCTGTTGCTGTGTTTGGCTTGATCTTCAGTCCTATTTTCTTGGGGCAAAGGCTACATGAATATTGTTTTGGCCTCATGAGCCACTTGAAGGTGAGAGAGCTGGTCTGGAACAATTTTAAAATCATGTGTACCATCTTGAGGACAGAGAAGGTCAGCACTGAGTGGACTTCGGAAAACCAAGGACTGAGTTGGGTGGGACAACTGGAGAACTAGAATCACCACTGGAGAGAAACCCCTCTGAAAAATCCTAAACGTGTTGATAAGAGAAAGTATTAGCTTTTTTTTTTTTTTAAATATATCTTTATTGATTTCAGAAAAAGGAAGGGAGAGGGAGAGAGGTAGAAACATCAGTGATCAGAGGGAGTCACTGATTGGCTGCCTCCTGCAGGCCCCTGACTGGGGATTGAGCCCCAAACCCAGGCATGTGCCCTGACTGGGAATCGAACCCCGATCTCCTGGATCCTGGGTCAATCCTCAATGGTCAAGTCACACCCGATCGGGTGAAATCATTAGCTTTTAAAAAACTAATTTATTTTCCGATTACAGTTGACATAGATATTATAATAGTTTCAGGTATACAACATAGATGATTAGACATTTATGTACCCTACTAAGAAAAAGGCTAAGTTTAATTACCTGTCAGTCCAGACAGCATGAAGCCATATTTTGACTGTACCAGTGAAGTAAGAGCTTTTCTCTGCCTCCTTTACCTCCTCTGCGGGGCCTGCAGCCAGTTAACAAACGGGGGGAATAAGGTAAATGAAAGAGAAAGATTCCTTCCCAGAAGTCTTATGTTTGAATAGATTGAAGTACTGATCAATATATTGGACTGGATACTTTCAATAATTGACCTGAGACTACGTTTGTCTTAAAGTGATTGTAGGACATTATGTTCCCCCAGAGTCTGTGTCAGAACAGTCATTGTGCCAGCCCAAGTTTTATCCAGAAGTAAAGCGCTATCCAGTCCCCATGTCCCAAGCAAGGTTATTGAGGAAATAAACCCAACTTGCTGTGGGTTCACTTCGTAAGAACTGCATGTCAATATGCCGATTCTATATGCACTTTAAAATTGGCACTCACAACGACCCTGTGAAATGGGTTCTGTTTTTAATACCAAACCAGGCTGGAGCTGGGAGCTTTCCAGGGGGCCACATGCTCTGGTGTGTGGTGGGGGCAGAGTATGACTGAAGTCCTCCCCCAACACCACTGACCCCAGACAGCAGCTGGAAACAGCAGGAGACCCCCTTCCCCCTGCAGCGCCCCTCAGTGCCCTCTACTGAGAAAACTCAACAGGGTACTCGCTGTTCAGGGGGGATGCTTAAAGGACTTTTGTTCGTTAGTCAGAGCATGTGTTGAAGGGTGAATCTGGAACTGGGAGGCAATAAATAACAAGTGACACAGGGAGTATGACCAAAATGACATGACTATGATGATGGGACTTTATGCATTTGCCAAATTGGGAACATGAGCTTTTATATTGCATGAAAAGGGACCCACTCTCCACCCTTCTGTTTTCTGCTCTTTGTCCCAGACCACTGACCTGTATGGACATCAAAGGGTTTAGCCAATGGGGAACT